AAAGAAGGAGGGGGAGCACATACACCCAACGCCACACAGCAGAGCGCCGGTTATGTGTGATATACGACGTCATTACGAGTTTACAGCCACTCATGCAAGTCTGTTCTTATAAATTTAACAAGGCCTTGGTTGTTTCAACTGTCGAGGACTTTTCCGAACAACAATGGAGGATAGTTACTAGCCACATCGATCTGTTGTGAAAATAGCTGAAGATGTCACAATTTTCCTTCCATTCAATAACAATACAGTGAAAGAGGCTCACACAGCCCGTGTGAAATGCATACAAAGTTACGACATTTTTGAGCCCATGTGCTGTCTATGACAGATATAAGAATGCAAGCAGTTTATCTCAGAATCCATGAAAATTACTTGGGGTGGGTGCACATGGTTGATACTGAAAATGTCGCAGCTTACGCACGATATTCTTTAAAAAAAATTTAAATTTAAGTTTGTGTCTAGTTGACAATTATTTCTTCTTACTTAGAGTGGGAAATTGAGCGTGTTGATGCAGATTCATGCTTAGCACTGTGCAGTGCTCGGAAACACTACAAAAAAAGAAAAAGGACATATGAAGTGCATCTGTGCTATAAACGTCCACAAAACGAATTCCATGTCGAATTGCGACACACGCTGATCAAATAAATGTGTTCTTTATCCCAAAGCTTAATTGATGGCTGGCTAAAGCATCTTTTATTCTTTCGTCAGACGTTGAAGAAATAATTTCTCGGGCAAGCTGCTTTTTATGCCTAGAAAGTATCATGCTGTCTGTGAGGTGCAGAGGGACATCTGCACTCACGACAGTAATCTACTAGGTAGGAGTGTGTTGCCTGTGTTAATGAATGTTGACCTTCCACCCAGTCAAAAATTCAGGCACCTTCAACTCTGCCCGATTTATGATCCATCGCATGACAACAGGATCTGATGCATTATTCCCACTACGCAATCACCGAATTGAAATGTGTGTTCAATACCGCGTTTTTTTCATGCCCCTCTTGACACACTTAATTGGGTCTGCTTGTTCATAAGGTCACACATGCTAAACAATTTGTTTGGGGAGGAAAAGACAACTTCCACTCCTTAGCTCTAAGCAATGTTTTTAGGTCATGGGGAATATTTTGTTTGCAGGGTAAAATGGCACTATTTTTTCGAATTTCTTACATGCCTTAGCTGATTCCGCCATCCAGGAATCTGCTCTCCATAATCTAGTCCTTGTGTTCATCAAAACTATGTCGAAGACCGTGAACGCAAGCTTTTTCTAAGGCAGAGCAAATGCAGAAAGTGCTGGCCCGTTTGATGAGCTAATAAGACTGATTGGCACTGAAATCAAGCGACAGTTTCATGATTCTTGAAACGTACCACCAACATGCATGAGAAGGCAAAAATTTCATTTTTAGGTGTAGAAACTGAATAGACTTTCCTCTCACCAATTAAACCCTGAATCTAAGTCAAAGCTCACATTCCATGGACACTTTGACAATATCTATGCTGTGTCTTGGGTAGCCTTGACAGTTAAAGAAGACCAAGAAATAATCAATAAACTGGTACACATCAGCTATTGCACAATTAGTGTAATCCTGCTTTCATCACTTTAGCCACCTCTTCCCCAATTTCCGACACAGAAAAAGAGTATGTGAACCTCAACCCAGATTCATGCAATGAGCTCCCTATTCAAGCAACATTTGTCTGGCTGAACATAAATTTATTAAAAAAAAATAAACATGAATATACAGTTCTCACATATTTAAATGTGAGAATTTACGGCTAATTAATGCATACACCAGACATTTTCATTTCTTCCCTCATCACTGGTATCATACTGGTGTAATTTCGACTCAAATGCTTGCATAAAAGCCAACATTACACTTATCAGCCAGATTCACATCGACATGGCTTTGCCATTTGAGATAATAGCGCATACCAGACATTATGCTAAATGTATTGGTACCGTGTTCCAATCTGCGAGCATTTTACAGGCATGTAGGCTGGCTATCACAGATGCAAGTTGTCCTCGTGAAAGTGCACCCCTCGGCACAGCCCATCAATCATTTTACCTGCATGGACTGCAGCTCATTCATTTCTCTTACTGCATGAGCAACAAGCATCCAACAGGTATACAAACACTGTTGAGAAATAAGGACAGATAAGCAAGGTAGCGTGCTTTACCGAGCTGAGTACAGTGCAATCAAGAGACAAGATGTCAGGGGATCAATTTTTGCCACGTGAACTTTTTTTATATGTGCACATAACTCTAAGGCCTGTATTCATGAACAAATCTTATTCCTACGTCGTGTTTTCCTAATTAATTTGATGCCTTTAGTTCATTTGAGACACCAAGTGGGTCATTATTTATTCATCGATCTTGTTGTTATCTTTCATCCTGTTTCCATTTTCGTGCCCATATAGCAAACATAAAGTGCACAGAAACTTAAAGGAAACATACGCATAAGGATAAGGTTCGCTTGTGAATACAGGCCTGAACCCCTTCTGCATCTTTTCCTGCTGAAAGGCATAAACTGCAACATGAAAGGAACCTGTGACCATTAACTCAGTGTCAAAATGGCATAACCACTATGTTACAGTGGTGGTCACCAAATTTATATTAGCCAATATGAACACAAATCTATCGAGTCAAAGAAAAGACACCTTAAATCAGGGCAGCCCGAAGAGCTTTTTAAAATTGTCATGAAAGACAGCGGTAAACCGGTTGTCAATCCAATAAACACAACACAAGTAGCAACACCTACACTGTGTCTCTACTTCACAAGCACGCACACTTCTTTTGTGATTAACAGACGTTTAATAAAGAATACCAATTTAGCCATCAATTTGACAAGATGACATGAGTTCGCTAGGACTTTGTCAGTACGATTTGATTGATTGATTTGTGGGGTTTAACGTCCCAAAACCACCATATGATTATGAGAGACGCCGTAGTGGAGGGCTCCGGAAATTTCGACCACCTGGGGTTCTTTAACGTGCATGCAAATCTGAGCACACGGGCCTACAACATTTCCGCCTTCATCGGAAATGCAGCCGCCGCAGCCGGGATTCGATCCCGCGACCTGCGGGTCAGCAGCCGAGTACCTTAGCCACTAGACCACCGCGGCGGGGCGACTTTGTCAGTACGACAACCATACCACATCTGATGCATGCGTAAGCTCCTTTTAAGCTCTAATCAACTAGAGTAAAAGTTTGTTAATACGACATTCATTACATTCATTTGGAAAATATCATAATTGAGACATGCTCCTTGGTCCTGGCCAGCATATGCAATATTTAACGGCACCGAGCTTTTGTTAATTTGGTTATACTTTGTTGCAGCCTGGTCAAACTGGATGGTATGCAGGGTGTGCTGAGCACTAAGCCTCGCAAATGAGCAAAGCAAAAAAGTTAAAATGTTGTTTGCAGACAATCAAAGCCAGAATGAGGCAGTGCTCTCCGCAATGCTATTTTATCAGTCAGTGACCATGGTTTTGTACATATACAAATCCAGCACTCAGCACCTTCATTTTAACTCGATACAATGCGTGCGCAATGTCACAAACCTCAAACATGACGAAAGCTGTTGATAAAGAGGTATCAGCCTCCGTTGGCATGCTGGCCTAAACAACTTGTTCTCAACCTCACGATGATTGAACTATTAGTTGCGGGCCACATTATCTGTGAAAGTGCTATTGTGCATGCGTGTGTTTGGTGGTGCTAGTGGAATGCGACCGGGGCGGGGGCATAGCAGGTTTCGGGCTAATTTAACATGGAAGTCTGGCGCCTTGGTCATATTGAGAAGAAAGCCGCAGAATGAGGGAAACTGCCATTTTATGCTGCTTTTCTGCAACATAGGTTCAGGATTTAAGTATTCATCAGCAAACTGAAAGTGCATTGATGTAGCAGACAGTTCTTTGTAGTTTACTTGATACTTTTGATATTTCAGAAATTGGTTGACTTTGACCTTTCTAGTCCCGTGAAATCCAAATTAACGAGCTTTTAATGTATTACTGGGTTGTTTGCACATGTCACGACCTGTCCTTACTTATCAAATGCTCCACCTTCCTTTTCATGATCGTAATCACTGTATGGCTTGTGTGAATATTACAATGAAATGTTGTTTCCATCTAGCAAAAGCACTAAAATTATTCTTAATATTGAATATCCGTATAGAACCTAATGATTAAACACTTAAAACAGAGTTCAAATCTGTCAATACTTTGTGCGAACAGCAATGCAAAATCATGCACTCAATAGCGCCAACCATATAACTGTATCTGCCGATAACTACTGCCATTTTAGGCAAGGGCGTAAAATATGTGTCAAAAGCATTGCACTCATAATTTTATGTTTGTTAATAAGATTATAACTGAGCAGCATTCACATGCAATGCCTTAATTCCACATGAAAAAGGACTAATGCACCTAGTAACATCAAATTCTCCCAAGTTCCATGCAATTTATGAGGGCACAATTTGGAAATGAGTTGGAATGTTTCGTGTCGAGCCTAACTATGTTTCCACATGATCCGATTCTGCAATAAGAAGTTCTGCTTTAGAACCAGGTGTGTATCAACTGAAGACTAATACCAGAATTGAAAGCTATATACCACTAAAATTACCAAAGAATGCAGCCATTTGGTTCCATACTATTTTTATGACTGCAACATTTTGAATAGTAACCACAGTGTTTAATGCCATGTGAAATTAACATTGTTCCATTAGTGTATTCTTTATGTGTACAAAAATCCCATTAAATTTATATGAACCATTTGAAAGCTTGAGTTAACACAGCTTCACAACGAGCACCAGCAATGATAATTAAAAAGGCATAGATTGATAAAATCAAGTGCAGTAGCACGCAATAGATATTCACGTTCTTTGAAACACTGGCAAAGAGCATGAAGGGAATAATTTCACAAACCTATCCTGATCTTGAAGTGGTTGAAGGAATGCTCGTTGACATGGTGAAGTTGCTCTTGCATCCTGAGGGCATATTCCGCCAAGGCCACAATGTGTACATTGTTTTCGATGTCCTCTTGCGTCATTGTGAGCCCCGATGCTGCCATATATGTGTAGCCTGTTGTCTTGATTTTCTCTATGCACTTGAACTGTTCCTTCTGATAGCAACTGCAAGATATTTGGACAACATATTTTTATCACCAATCATTTTTGCATAACAATGTTCATCTGCATCAATATCAAAAGAAGCATGAACTATTAGCATACTTTATAAGGAAGCACAACAGTAATGATGCATTTACTGTGTTGGCATACACATTAAAACCACTCAGCTTTACGTTTAAGATTCAGCGTTCCAATTTTTAAGAGAAACAAACAGCAAAAAGTATCTTTTCTCTATGGCCGATTCTTTGGAAACAGCTTTCTTTATTGCAGTACTATTGGTGATCTTGTGCCAGTCCACTTCGACCAATTTTAATGATTTAGAGTGTCATATAAGCACTGCCACACAAACAGCTAATGTGAGATTATAGAATTTCTCATAACGACGCTCTACCGTGCTTTTGTTCAGCACGCGATGCATCTTTCCCGTTTTTGTGAGGAAAAGAAATTATAAAAATACTAGCAGCAAACTGGTTTTGTTAAGCGAAGTCCACACCACAAAGGTCACTGTAATGAGTGAGCGTGACTTCACAGTGGCAGTGCTATGTTCTCGGTGTTGTGGTGTCACAAGTGCGACAAACGTGATGGTGCGCACGCTACAGTGGCACCGCAAAACGAACACGTGCAGCACAAAGAGAGTGAAGACTTGATTTGATTGATTTGTGGGGTTTAACGTCCCAAAACCACCATTTGATTATGAGAGACGCCGTAGTGGAGGGCTCCGGAAATTTTGACCACCTGGGGTTCTTTAACGTGCACCCAAATCTGAGTACACGGGCCTACAACATTTCCGCCTCCATCGGAAATGCAGCCGCCGCAGCCAGGAATCGAACCCGCGAGCCGAGTACCTTAGCCACTAGACCACCGCGGCGGGGCGAGGGAGTGAAGGTGTTGGCGGACGATCGCACATGTGGGCATATGGCGGCAAACAGAACGAGAACCAATTAAGAAGATGATATGGCAGCAGCAGAAAAGAAGAGGAGGTCAACCGGCTGGAGTGTCGTGAGGGAGTTTGACTTGAATAGCTCGAAAAAAAAAAAGACGCTGGTGTCAAGGTCTGTGCCGTCGAGATTGTGACTCGAGCACAAAGGGCCCGAAAGCTTGTGTCTCGTCCTAACATCCTCGGAAACAGGCAATCCTAGGGACGAGGAGTTCCCGCCATCCAAGCAGTTGATTCAGGCAGTGGAACCTCCATGGCGAGCAGACTTCGGCGTTCCCGTTGCCGAGAGAGAGTCGCAGTAGCCGCAGGAACAGACGCTGGTGGCAGGGTCCCTGCTGCCAGCTTGCGGAGTCGAACACGATGGGCCTGGCAGGGTCGTCGAAGAGTCTCCAGGACAGCTGGTTCGAGCAGCTGACCCTGTCGTCGTTTGCCTGCCACGGGACGAGCATGAGTGCCTGCCGCAAGACTTCACGCTGAGTACCTAGGCACGGAGGTCACCAGCCTGCTGCGCCTAAGGGCGCACCCTTCCACAACCTCTTCGACCTCCTCTTGAGGTTGAGGTAGTTGTAGGTAGCCGGCGGATCTTACCTTGCATCATTTGCAGGCAATTGCCCCTCGACCTCCTCTTCAACCGCTCCACAACCATCCTCACTGTCAATGCTGCCACACACCAATGACTCCAATTGCCTCTGCCATTGCAAGCGACACAAACACCGATGACAGTGACATTTTCTTTGAACGGTCTGCGGGACTTGATAGTTAATGCATTGCCGGTCAAGGCAGCTTTAACGCGTTTGCAACTTCCCTCTGCTTGTTACGATTGACTGTCCCTTTTTATCTTTTCTGATGTGTCAGTAAGGCTACATTTTTTTGTGGGTGTGTAAAAAATGGCTCCTCAGTTTCCAGGTCCGAGGCCTTGCCTCAAGCGAAACTATATACAGAACACAACAACTGCATAACAGCCAGCAGAACACCAAATTTATATTCTGTTATTACCATTACTACAAACTTGAAGTGACAAACCCAGCTCTCTGCGTGTTTCCAAGTCGAAATGTTTACCTGAGGCAAAGAAAGACCCAAACACAGATTGATAACACTAGCCAAAAAGGCAAACGTCACCTTTGCAGCCTCCATTAATAAATGAGGATGAGTAGCTAAAGCTCTAAAACAAATCCTTACTAAGCAAGAGCTACCTCCAATCCCCTGCTTCATTCCTTCTATTGCACTCCAAACCCAGGTCTCACTTCGTTTCCAAAAGTGCCATTTCTAAAACTGCAGAGTGACAGACTACAATAGCATTTCTGCCAAGAGCATTCAATAAAATTTCGAAAGCTACTTTCTAGGAACACAACATTTACACCAAAACAGAACACCCTCCACCAATTTTTCCACTCGATAGATCACAGAAAATTACCTTATGCATGAAAATCGTCATTGGCATATGCCTAATGCGCTAGTACAGAACCCTGAGGCCAAAATACTGTTATGAAGAAAAATATGCGCACTTTTGCTATGTGAACTTGCTGCTGCAGGAATTTTGCAAATACGTGCTATAATAAGGAACTTACAAAACATGTTACAGGGGTTAGAACATCCGTTTCAGCTAGTTTAAAATTTCCATGCGGCCTCCCCACCCTCCTTCGCTATAAGGAAGGGAAAGGCGTAGCCCATCATCGTGCATCCGCCCACTTCAGCAACGTGGCACGTCAGCGATGCACCATCAGTGTGCAGCCAACAATCGAGCGGGGCATCTTCAACATGAGCACCTGTCATAGCGACGTGGGGACAAAGTGCGGTTGAAGGAGCACTCTTCCCCTAGCGGTAAAGTAGCAAGACGCCTTTTCATCTCAGAGACTTTTATTCTAGCAATACTGCTTCTTCCGGTAATCACAGGCTCAACAAAACAGCAGAGGCCAGCACAGGAAAACGAAATGTGGACTGCACAGCTGAAATTGCATCACCACAAGGCTAAGGCGACGTCTCATAGGGCAAAGGACTAATTGATGAGCTCTGTGGTACATAAAATTGCCCATGGACAAGCTTGCATCACTGCGCACACGAGCGGTATTGGTCAGGCAAAGAGAACAGGTACAGGAATTGTTTTTCGTAATCGAGGAACTGCAAGACGCTGTAATATTAGGAAAATGTGAGCGCCACAGCCTACTGTACGAAGTGGCGAGCTAGCTTGAGGGGTATAAAAAAAGCCTGAGCCTGTTTACTGGCCCTTCAAGGAAATGGCTGAAGAGGAAGACTTGACCTTGACGTTGTGAAGGAAGCTACTTCAAATGATAAACACTTTGTTGTGGTGCAAGTAGCTCTACTTCTTGTATTCCCATTACGAAATGGCCCTTCAAATGGTGGTCTGCAACTAAGACAGGTGTATTGCAAAGCAGATGTGCACATTCAAATGAAAAACATACTCCTGTAATTTCGGCAAATGGTTGTCAGTAAACTTTACTCTCTTCAGCAGCTTTCACTTATTTAACACATGTGCAAATGCATCACAGACCTCTGTTCTCACGCTGTACATTAACAGGCACTTGCACAATGCTCTTCGCCACTAGATTTATGCAACAAGGTATCTGTGACACTCTCTCCTGAAGCAATGAAACTCTACAGACATTAAAACACAGAGATGGAGCAATGCAATACTTCTCCAGGAAAAATAATTCTGTGTCTTCAATGCTTACCTCATCAAAGTCAGCAATGATTTCATTCAGAAGGCGAAGACATTCCACACCTTCATTGTTGGCTTCCAGTTCCATGTAGAATTCACTGAAGTTTGGAATGGATGCAAACATAATGCCAACGCTGTCACGCTGTTCGTGATACAGGTCCTGGAACCGATCATTTAACAACAGCAACTGTAACAGCACTTTTAACAGTAATTTTACACTGCACTGGATTTCATCAGGGTAAACTGTGCATTTGTCTAGTGGACACACCTGGTGAAATAGAACATAATATCCCAGGCTTATATGCCAACTGTGCATAACAGCAATATTTATTAGATTTCTTGGCATATGAAGTGCATAATAGCAACAAGAACCACCACACAAAACATCTAAAAAACGACTAGCCCAATTATGTTTTTTTTGGCAGCTCCCATACTGTAAGATTTCTCACACTTGTGATACACGCCTCCATTCCAACATAACTACGCAGCTCTGCATGAATGCAGTACTTCTTGCTTTACGATACCAGCTCTTTACCAGCAACTTGCTTATGAAAACAAAGAAGAACGAAAAAAGTACTTGCAATGTCATTTTGACACTATTTTCTGTTCATCAGGCGTAAAACTCCCTCCTACTTTACGTACACCACAAGATTTCGATGATACAAACATGCTTGTTGTGTTAGGTCCGAGTAAACCTTTTCTAATAATGAATTCGCCCGGACTTTGGAAAATTCCTGCAAGTATAAACAAACGGAAAACGCTTGCAGAACGCAACTAGCCATCAAAAACTAAAAAAAAAAGCACTTAAGGTCTTCAAAGATATTCTGCTGCAACCGCAGCGCTCAGGGCAGCAGTCAGAAAGGAGTAAGTACCTCATGCTTGTGGTCAGAAGAGAGAAAGTACTCGGCAACGTGTGCCGGCAAGATATTGCCCAGCAACTTCCGATTGTATGCCTGTAGGTCTTCCATGTCTTCCTTCTCTTCCATTGCTTGAAGCTTCCACAGAAAGTCCAGGCGAGATGTGGCCTCCGTTTGAAAGCCATGGATCACCAGGACCGCTATGTAGAGGCACAGCACGAGCACCACCACCGTCTTCAAGGTAAAGCACATCAGTGGCACTACAAAGAAAAAAACAAACAAAGTTACCAGTTATACATGATTGCTAGTTTAGCAATGCTCCTCTTAACGCAAGCTTGAATCGCAAACGTACACGGCCCCTGTGTTTTGGCCGGCAGAACATCAAACACTCCATGAGATGGATAAAGAAAGCACACCAGCATTGTTCAAGCGAGCCATCACAAGCGCAGTGAAATAGACTGCATTGCGAATTTACAGAAAAGCTGGTCACGTAGGCACATAAAAAATGCAAACGAACCCGTTAACACGCGTTAAACGCCACGAACGCTGCCATGTTCAACCGCCAAATGTCGTGCTGGATTGACTTTGTTTGACTTTAGTTGGCCTGTCGTTTGGTGGGCTTGTTTCGGTTTCGTTCTTGTTTTAATAAACAGGGAAAGGGTGACGTTATGAAATATATGAATGCCACGCGTGTTACATATTGAGCCCTTAACCTTATGTGCCCGAGCGAAAGTTATACACAAATGCTTCAGCGAAAGAAACATGAGGTGTGTTCTATACCCACGTGGCACGCCGAACGGGTGCTGCAAAAGTTCAGATGGTGCCACTGCAGTGCGAACACCATGCAGGTGGTGCAGGTGCAGCGCCATCGCCTCTTAATTTTTCACTTTGGAATCTCCTGTCGTTTGCTCTGCTCGCTCGCAAGGCCTTGTTTCCCGTGCGCCCGTCCGCATTCAGAAAAAAAAAAAAAGAATCCCTCAGCAGTCGCTGCCGTCTGCCACAATCATGCCATTATATTTGGGGTTGGGCATTGTAAATTTACATCCACGATCAACGCCATGTGCAACCAAGCATCGGCGGAACGCGTCGTTTGCTTCTGAGCTGCACCGCGGAGGTGGCGGAGGCACCTCCCACTGATCCATCAGTGGCACCTCCTAAGAGCAGGTTCAGGAATTCTCTGCACCGCGGCGGCATCACTCCTGCACCGCGCAGATATCGAGCACAGCAGTGCAGTGCACCAGAGAATCGGGGAACGCGGTGTCGTGCACCATGAGGCGGTGCACGAGGGGCAGGTGGATCGCACACCTTTAGTGACTTGTGCAGAAACAGCGCTTTTACAACTTCTTTGAGAAAACAAGACAAACATTTATTATACATATTACTTGGACGCACACCATGTGTTATCGACACCTTCTCTTTCTCTCTCTAATCCCATATTTGTCAGTGCAGTAAGTGCAGGATAGCATACCAATAACTACGACTTGGTTAGAACTGGTTAACAGACACATAGCCAGGATTTTTTTCGAGGGGGGGGAGTGGGGGAGGGGGAAAGGCCAAATTGTTCGAAAGGAAGTCTTTTCATGGCAAATAGATAGAGAGTTGTCCGGGAATATAGGAGGTGCTCAATTATTGGAAGAAAATGCGAACAAAGTGGAATGCAGCAAAAGAGGCGAGTTAATCAGCGATGCACATTTCGACACTGCAGTAAAGCTAGTGCGTGTGCACCAGAAAGAATGGTTTCTTACCGAATAATCTCGACCAAGAAGTCCCATACAGTGTCAGTAACGGGATAACTAAGGAACCGGTCGTCTGCTTACGCATGTGCGGCAATATGCGGGGTTTAACGTCCCAAAACCACCACATGATTATGAGAGACGCCGTATATAGTGGAGGGCTCCGAAAATTTCGACCTCCTGGGGCTCTTCAACGTGCACCTAAATCAGATCACAGGGGCCTACAGTATTTCGCCACCATTAAAGATGCAGCCGCCGCAGCCGGGATTCGATCCCACGACCTGCGGGTCAGCATGACGAGTACCTTAGCCACAATAGACCACCGTGGCGGGGCAATATTAGACTGCTATAAAAGCGGAGTCAACACTGGAACGAACCACAGTTGGCATTAACATTACATCACGCCTTCATCATAAAAGCACATATGTCGTGTTTAACACCTTGTTATACACTTACATGGCTAGCACTGCACTACAATAGACATTGCACCAACATTATGCCAGAATATGGTGTTTTGACAAAGCAGCGTCAAGAGCTGGCGTGGCTCACTGGTAGAATACCTGGCAGTCATGCAGAATGCTAAGGTTCAACACCTGCTGGGGTCCTGATTTTTATTAGTTTCATTTATTGGGTCAACTTTTTCTTAACGCTCTCGCATTTAGATTACGGATGTCTGTTCTCGCCGTTCCTGCAGGGTAGATATAAGTTCTGTAAACAGACGGCTCCAATCAACAAACATTCGAATATGACACGAACGCGTCTCGAATGTCACTGATGGTTGCGCATGAATAAAGGCTCGTACCCAGGGACGAAGTTCCACAGGCTGTCGTCCCACGTGAAGCTCAGTGCGCAGAAAGGCAATGTGAAGAGGAGCAGGAGCACCATCTTCTCGACGGTCGTCAGCACGAGCACGGCTGCGCAGGCTAGGAGCACCAGAGCCAGACAGAGCGTGAGGTACTGCAAACAACAGCAAGAAGAAAAATGAAACGAGATGCCAACAGCCTCCAAAGTCAGCACTCGCAAGGCGTCGTGAATGGAGTAGATGAATCTTGAATGCGCCTTATGTGAGAACTGATTTGTACATACCTACCGAGTAAATAATAAACGAATTGTATTACATTGATGCATTATGTGATGAGCGAGGTCTGCACTGTTGAAAGTTTCGAACTCGTGTCGTATCTGTGTTGCTTCGCGCCATGAAACAGTTTTGATTGCTACCACAAACATGGGTACTGGCACAAGCAACGACGTAAACCAAGCTTGTGAAATCAGCTTTGACACAATGCACCAGTTAAACTGCATTTATTTGGTCTGGTTTACCGGAACTCTTCAACATCTTCAACACGATGTCGTCAAAGCGAAAAAAAAAAAAATTTGTTGGAGTCATTTTCCTTTCGGGAGGCAAAGCTAGGAAGTGCGCACCTGTCGTACTACTTTCATTATCCATTCATCCATCCATCCATCGATTCATCCATTTCTTTCTTTCTTTCTTTCTTTCTTTCTTTCTTTCTTTCTTTCTTTCTTTCTTTCTTTCTTTCTTCTTTCTTTCTTTCTTTTTTGTTTTCCTTTCTTCTTTTCTTTCTTTCTTCCTTTTATTCTTTCTTTCTTTCTTTCTTTCTCTTTCTTTCTTTCGGTCACGTACGTCGTATACATACAGTTCACACATGTAAACACATACGCATGAGATGACAAGCTTTTATTGCTTGTGTATATTGTATACAACAGCTTCATTAATTCTGATGTTGTCATTGTGCTTGCTCAAAAAGCTTAAAGCGAGCAAACTACAACGGCAAAAAGGTAAAAAAAATATGCACATTTGTTAGTAACTTAGTTACAGTCGTGCCACTGCCAACCGAAGGTATTGCGCAACGCTTCCTCCTAGCTATGTCTTTCCTCCATGCCGAACGTTGGACCTTCACCGACGCGCGTCGTGGTGCAACAATTCTGTTGCTACAAGCAACAATGGTGATCACGCGCTCATATCCAGACAGCAGTGTCAAAGTGAAATGACAATTGACCTTGATAAAACAACGGATCGACATATCAGAAGCTGTTGAGCGCCGACAAGCCCACGATCGAGAGGGGCATCAATCATTCGAAAACAGGGCGTACAAATGCGCACGTGGACGAGGGCACCTTCGATTGTCGAATTTTTTTTAGCATTGTACGCGAAATACGAGATTTCCGCGTATACGATGCTACCGAGTTCTCGCAGTTATAACAAGCTTATAAGCTACGAGTGCCAGCTGTAGGTTTCAAGCGTTTCAGCGTCTCCATTTGTTTTGTTGATTTGTTGGCGCTGGCCTTATCACGCATGAGGCCCCCGGGACGGTTTTATGTTATCTAATAGCAGAGTACCAAGTACTCTAAATCATCAACCACTTTATTTAAACACGCTACGCCTACTATCACTTCGGTGACTGCATCGCGATAAGAGTTCACTAATCGCAAATCGTGACAATCATGCGTGGCTCTCACCTCAGGCACGTTCACGTAGTTTTCTTGCATACACGTTACGTTCGCTATCATCGTAAAATTGTCGTCGTAGTACCAGCACGACGCGACGTCCTCCGATTCGGGCATGATCTGTAAGAAAGCAAAGAAACAATAAAGAAAACCACGTAAGCCATCGGTAAGTGTTCCACGTAGCGAAATTTCGCAATGCGAATCTGGTACCATAAGTATGGAAGACCACTCACCGCCGATGTCATGCAGCAGACGTACACAATGATTAAGATCACAATTGAAATAACTTGGCTATGCAATCTGTTTCCCGTGAGTTTCTCGGAAATCTTGTAACACTTGGAAGGAATCACAGCCGTGAAAAGCTGAAAAAGAATAAAAGGAGAAGCAAGAACTATAGGCACATCAAACACAACCACAACGCATTACTGACTCCACGCGACTTCTTCCCTCGAAGAGCAACGTAATATTGTTACATTCGTGTGCCTGCGAACTTTGTGCAGGAATGAGTGCAGACGTATGTAAGCGTGCGACGCTATCTTGTGGGAAGGGCAACAGAGTAGTTAACGACCGGGACAATGACTTTCAACACGTTCAAAGTCATTCCTGCGTTCCGATATATACGTTTGCCCACTGTGGAACAAACTAACCTGATTGCATGGCCACTCTGTGTGCTCCGTTAAAGAAACTAAATAGGCAGGTCGTCAGAACTAGAAAATAAACATTTGTACGCGAATATTATCTGGCAACAATCTGTGCAACATCTATTATAACTGACTTTGATGACTGTTCCAAGAGCCAAGCTAAAGTTAAATGCGTTACGTATAAATCAGTCATGTCTGCAAGCTGTTCCAACAGTGAAGATAAATATTCCATAAAGATAGATTCGACCCTGTGTTGCAGTGGGCCGGCCAAAACACGCTTTCGCGCTGAACAAACGCAGACGCAAGGTCGGCACCGCATGTCGAGGGAGTGCTATTTACGGGGCCGTCATAAATTTCCCCGTGGGCAAGACGGGCGAGCTCGTCTCGCTCGAATCGAGCGCGCGGCGCTTGTTCAAACACGCATAAAACGACCGCGGTCAGAGCAATGTCCTGAATAATAATACGCGGTACACATTAGAAGCCTGCCGCACCGACACTGCTTGCGTTGTCCACGCCATGGCGCAGTGCTTTACGAATCAGTAGAGTAATGCCCGCACAATCTCACTTCGCCCCGAAACTTAAATGTTTTATCGAATTTGACGGCTCCTGTCGTGACCTAGTTTGTATTCTTGTACTTCTGACAGCGATGAACACTGCGATGTAAACTATTCCGCAAGAAAACGAAATAAAGCAACGCGCAGGATAGAATTTGCAACAGCCCAGTGCATGTGTATATGAGGCCCGCATATGTGCGGTTAGAACGGCAACCGCTCAACTATGATCGTAGAGGAGATTATGGCAGGAGTCACAGATCAATATGCTATAGGTCGATTACGAATATATATTTATTATAGCGCCTCATATTGTATGGAGCTAATTTTAGCAACATGGTCTACATCCCCGACCAGTGAGAGAAAAAGCGCATTGTCGCTGACATTGGACACGTTCGTTTTTTTTTTTGCAGCAAAGCCCACATATGATTGGAAATTGAAAGATTGCCTTTCGAAGAAACCCGACTTTGCCTGAATGGTGCAGCCTGATTCGACATAAAGAACAACAAAAAAGAAAGTACACACACACACACAACACACACACACAACACACACACACAACACACACACACACACACACACACACACACACACACACACACACACACACACACACACACACACACACACACACACACACACACACACACACACACACAAAACTGGCGATTTCGGTTGACGCGCGCTGTATGCGCCAATAAATACGATGAAGGTTATTCTTTTGCCCAATCATGACAGCCGTATAAAAAGATTGGTTAAATTGAAATAGTGTTTTGCAATGTGAATAGTTTCAAGGGTTAAACGTTGTATGTCTCAAGGTCCTACAGTGAATAGTTTCGAAGGTTGAACTTCGTATGTCTCAAGGTCGCACAGATGAGTGCGATTAAAGAACAGCAGTTGAAAAGAAATGGTTAATGGAATTTTACCAAGCAACTTGCAAATCCAAGGTTGATTCAGACGTGGTGCAGTTTTCGGCCCCTCACCACTCTTAATGAGTACTGCCACCGATGAAATGTCACGACCTTGTTCTATATAGCTGCAGGAGCATTTTATTATATGCAAAGAGACAAGCCGATAAAGGAAGCGGAAATTATTCCCAAGCGTTGTCTTAAAAGTAAACTTACAAAGCTCAATGCTTCAAGTATAAAGTTTGTATACGTTTAAATGAGCGCTGTATATAGGAAAATCGAAAGAAGCCTTGACCATTGCGTGTGTGAGTGAGAGAGAGAGAGAGAGAAAGAGAGAAAGCTTCAGTTTGTACAGTGTAAAGCACCCATATCTTGTGAACTGAGAGTATGTGTTTGCTTGCGTTGTCCTTGAAGTCCGGTACTTCTCTTTTTTCTCCTTATCTTTCAGGAATTATAAGCGTACTGAGTCAGCGTTTCATTTTATTCCCTATATATATATTTGACAGTGCTTTCTTGTTGTTTCCGGCATTTCGCCGAGGTAATATTTTCTGCTATAGACCGTTCTTTCGTGGGGTAAATCTAACCATCTTTCGGGTCTCTATAGTGAAGAAGAGACAGAGATAGAGAGAAAGAGAAAAGCGCACAGTGAGAAAGTTCTTACCTCTAGATGCAGGCACAGGATGATACATATAACCATAATTATAAGGGCGATTCCTCCTATCTGGATAAATACCCGGATCCATGATCTGTTGAAAAAATAAACACAATGCAAAATAAAAAAGGACCAATAGCACCAGCGATAGTTGAAAGAATGGCAAACGCGACCTGTTTTGATAATCAAAAGAGCACCGGATCCCTTTGCATACTATATAGTAGTATACTTTACGACGAACTTACTTACCCGTGTCAGTCTTGACACTGCGGAGAACACGAGCGGTAAAGATTAGCATTGCAAATAGGATGAATTCTGAAACTGCGACAAACTGCACTTTCATCGGGCCTTTGAGGCACTAAAGAAAATACGGCCAGTCGCTTTTACGGTTGAGTAAACAAGTTTTTTAATTGTGTTTTTTTTTCCAGCTCGTTCGGTAACACTCGTCGTCGTCCGGGTGTTTTCATAAACTGTGCACCGTGTGCGGATAACATCGGTGCTAAAGGTTTCCCTCGGGCGGAGAGATCACCCACGCATTTGCAGAAAACCATAATTTCAAATCAATCAATCAATCAATCAATCAATCAATTCTAATATTTCCAACTCTGATCGTGTGCGCATGCAAGACAGTCCGGCAACTTAGCAAAGCGTATAGATAACTTGCACGGGCCGTCATATCGACGCAGCTTCTAAAGGAACTAGCACTTCATGATGGCGGCTTTCATGACAAATAAAGTTGCGATTAACATACTCCAATCTGATAACGACGTTGCAGCAACTCATCTGTGCGTGAATAATGAAAGAACCAGCGCGACATGTTTTGATAACACTAACGTGACATCGCGAACGTCCCCATTATAGCGGCGGTTTCAGGAACGTCAATTAAAGCTATTTAATAACAATACGATAGGGATATTGACAGAGTCAGCGTGAAACAGCCGAACACAGTTAGTCTGAATATTTGTGCCGGCTACACACTTTTGAAGTGCACAAGTGCAGTTTCCGAATTCAATGAAAGAGGGCACGTGGTTGAACACTGGGATGAATAGTTTTTTGGGGGGTTGTGTTCACCATGTATTTACCTTTACATACACAATAACCTTTAAGGATTTCCGAATCAGACTGCACGTACTATTAAGTTAACCGAGAGTGATACGAGATAGCGATGGTGCTTCTTGCAATATCGAGAAAACTGCAAATCAAAGCACTGTCTGAAAGCCCGTGCGCATTTTCTTTCATTTTTTTCGCAACTACAGTGTTACATGCTCAGAATTTGACGTTACACGTTCTGGCCCAACGTTATTAGGAGCAACTTCGAATTCTGAAGCAGTTGAGAAATCTCCAACCACGCGCATCACCTCAACCTTAATTTCGTCCAGCGTGTAATGATTGCTTTTTCTCATCGCGCTCTCGCGATCAAAAGAGACACGCGAAAAAGGAAAAAAAAAATGTGCTTCGAAGTATACTCACAGGTCCAGGATGATCATGTGTATGATAAATATGAACACCAACACAACTTCCGCGCACACGATGTAGATGCCCAGCATCGGGTCCGGCTCTTTCATGTACTGTGGGAGAGAGGGCAAGAGGGGACGAGGGAGAAATAGTGTCACGTGACACGGTTAGTATATACGCGTTTTTATGAATTTTTCTTTATTTGTTTGTTCAGTTTCATTCTTCCTATTTTTTTCACTTTCCTTTTCTCACTTCGTGTTCTTTTTTTTTTTTTTTAGAAGAAACTATAAAAACGTGGCCGCTTCTCGGCATGCCCATATATTGCGGTATACAATGCCTTAAACACACCTCCACCTTGTCTTAGAGTGATTTTTTTGTTTTTTTCTGAATGCGCCTGGCAATACGTCTCCTACCGGCAACACAGACAGAACTGTCAACACAGCGCTTTCGCTTGTGCCCATGTATTTCAGTTCAACACAACAGCCCACACCGTTTTTTTTTCTTTTTAACAAAAAAATGCTTTATACTGGGGTCCACCACGGCTCCACTGACGCCTTCTCGTCACGAATATGACGGTGTAAAATATATGCTTAAAATGGCAGAGTAAAAATAAAACAAAATTTTCGTCACCGGTGTAGTAGTAGTAGTAGTAGTAGTAGTAGTAGTAGTAGTAGTAGTAGTAGTAGTAGTAGTAGTAGTAGTAGTAGTAGTAGTAGTAGTAGTAGTAACCGCAGAAGCAGTATACTCGTAGCAGCAGCAGTAGTAGTACTGAATTTGCAATAGAAGAAAACGCATGGTGTACTGCCGGACGCCTAAGCTAAGCGGTGGGAAATTAGAAAAAGAAAGTTGGAAAAGGATGCTCTATGACGTTTTAGGCAAGGTACGTTACAACAGTGCCGTGTTGAACAGCCCTAACTCTATCTCCTGGTTACATTGTACACGACTCTAGTTTTTGACGATCGAAATGCTGTGTCAATCAATAAGAGGTCGCCCACTGAATTTAAGTGCGTTCAAGGGAAGTTACGACACGCGGCCGCTAGGGGCGCGCACCAATTGCGACGCGGAGGTGGGTTGCACCACCCACTCTGTACACCGCTAATCACTTTGCACGCTAATCGCGAAAGGCCCGCACGGTGCAATATGTGGCGCGCTTCCCTTTTCTAAAAGGATATAGAGTCTTCTCCTTTTTGGTGAGCAAAGGCAATCAGCAGTAGTTTTCCTGAACCAGCGCGGCTTAATGAAACAAAACGTAGCAGCTGAAGGGGGGGGGGGGAGTGACGTCACGACTGCACACGAAATGAGTAAAGGTCAGACGTAATTATGCCAAGGCCCCGTACCTAAATTTATACCAAATACTTGACAAACGAGCTCCACGGCGCTCGCATAATTAAACATAAATAATAAACACCATATAAACAGAAGAAAATCTTTCGTATTGAGTGAAAATAAGGAGCTTCTTCCTATATATACCTACGTGTACATACACTACTTCATTATAACCGCCAAACGTTCCAAAAACTATTTTGCGCAGAACATCTATAACTTCACTTCGAATGGTTTTTTCCTCTCGTTTGCTCAGAATCAATTCTTTTCGGACCATGTACAATCAGTTTTCCGATAATCGATTCAGGAGGTCATCAACGGTCTTACCGAGCGTGATTCTGAAACGACGTTAGAGATGCTATGTTCTCTGTCGAACATTATGCGAGTGTAGTGGTTGGGGCGGCTTCTTAGCAGTAACCGAACCTCGCATACATAATTTCAGTCGTTATTAAGGCGACAGGTGCTGAATATGTTTAGCCTGCGTATCTAGAAGGCGAACAGTGTAGGTGCACTGTAGCCGACAGCGCCTAACAAGGGTGCACTTTTATCAATGGGGTGGGATAATGGAAAATCGCTGGTTCATCCAACATAGCAAAAAACAGAAAAAACGAATGTTTAGTCCGGAAAATAAGCTTCGAATTGTGACCTGACTAATCTCGAAGCGGATTTTTGCGTTTCATTTCGCGGAATTTGTTTTTTTTTCAAGGATTACATAAATATTCAGATGCAAAGTCACATGCAACTGTTGCAAACCACAGCACGGCTGGGGCCATTTTCATAAGGGTGTGCATGGTGTACTGAATTTGAAAAAAAAATGGTACTCCATGCATGCTACAGCAGATCGACAGAATAGCCGCAAGTCGAAATGGCGTGATTAGCTTTATCAGGTGTGCTAAGGAAAAATCATAAATAAAAAACAAAACATTACGGCCCGATTTTTTTTCTTACGGGATAAGGATTTGTATTTCAGTGTGATGCGCACGCTGGAGAAGCTAGAAGCCATGACAAGTAATTTGGGCTTAAATAAGAAAACACAAACATTTCAAATGAACAGTGAATGACAGCATCGTAACTTATCGAACAAACTGTTATCTTCATGCTTCGGTAGTGACATGGAGCGTGCCAGCGTGGAATTACCGAACACTGTAATGGCGATTATTTCTGCATGCTGGTTTTACAATGATGTTGCGGAAAAACACATTGCCATATAATGAGGAAAGTCGCATGGTGAAGAATAGCCCGGTTTTCGCGTGTATGTGTTCTACAGCTATTCAACCTGTAATTATTAACATTTATTTGTTTGTTCAAACTTTTTATTCAACTTTCTAACACAGGTGCGGTCTGTAGTGGCGTGTGGCTTTTGAATAGTAGGCAAAATGTAAGTTGACCTAAGAAAACGAACTCAGAATGAGCCCTTTTATCATGTTTGCAGTGAAAAAGGAACAAAACCTGAATACCCAATACGATGACCAGGATAAAGTTTAAGGTTTGAACACTGAGAGCATTGATTTCCTTTCTCTGTGTAGTGGCAATAATGCAGCAACATTTGCATGCGCTATATGACCTTGCTGCTTGTATAGTGAATTGTAATAATTTTGTAAACATGCAACGGGCCTGATGATTTGAGTTTACCGCTTCGAAAAGTCTAGCTTGCAATTTATATAGTCATGTTCAAAAAGGTGACAAATGGCCGGAAATATATTAACAGTCTCATTCTCCCCCTTGTTTGCATGTGTATTCCAGCCAGGCTTGTCGCCAAAATTTAATAAGGGGGGAGGGGGGCTCTTACTGAGCAAACGGGAAAAATGCTATTTTATTGTTTATTTTCTATAAAACACCGTACTCACAAAAATTTCGAGGGGCCTATGGCACCCCATTGGCTACAGGCCTGATTTCAGCAGTCGTGCTCCAGAAACCAACAGTGTCAAAGATTAGGATCGATCACCCGAGTGCACTCAAGGGAGCAGTCCCGTAACAAAGGTTTCATATTCTTCTCTCCGTATTTGTACCAGGCCCGCATTTAGGAGGGGGGAGGTCCTACTTCTCCCCATGATGTTCTGGTGGAGGGCGCTGTTTCACCATTAATAAATAGAGAAAATGGGTGTTTATAAAACAGTACAACCCTGTAGTGAGATCCCCTGTCTCTCCTCCCGCCTACCCCACTCCCCCCTCCCCCCCAAAAAAACATTGCGCCCACAGGTCTGTCCTGCGCCTGCCCGTGACGCTATATACTATCCTATTCTTTCCTCGATACAGGGCCCTCCACTGCGTTTTCCTTACTTTTCATGGCGAACCCAACGGGCAGAAAAAAAGAGCGAGGGTGCGACAGAGAGAGAGAGAGTGAGGGAAGGCTCCCTTATGTATTTATTTATTTATTGTTTATTGAATACTGCTGGCCTAAATTTTCAGGCCCTAAGCAAGAGTGAATAGGTTACACTGTGAATACAAATGCACTTGAACAATAAAAGGGCTTGTTTACAAAACAACAGAACAAGTTAACCGGTGAAACAAATACGGCACTACATACAAAGAAAATAAAATATTCTGTATATCAAAACAAGTAGTGACTCGGAAAAGAAACAAGAGTCTGTTAAGTGCACTAGACATTTCAGTGCTATCAAAGAATGTAACTTAAAACAGTAACTAACGAAAAACAAACAAATATGGGCGGCGCTTTTGTGATAAGATAATTACACCACTGGTGATAACGGCACTATAATTTCTCGTTTTGAAGTGCGGAAATAAAACTGCAATATAGACTTAGAACCTTTAAAAGGCAATATCAATCTAAGGCTAACAAAAGTGGGAGCCTTCATCCAGCTGCCGACACGGAGGCCATTAAACCACAAAGGCCGTTCACAGTCAGCATCAGCACCGTCGTTTTCAAGCATGCACGCATGCGGCGTACGTTTCAATTGTGTTAGTGAACACCCCTGCGCCGAAGTGTCAAAAGAGAAACTTCTTACTCTTTCACAACACCCCAATATGGCTGACGTTATAAATGTAATTCAGGCGTGTCGTTCATGCCATATAGAAAGCAAAAAAAAAAAAGAAACGCAAAGAAAATTTTACGGAATGGGCACGACGGTGACGGTGTAATGTCCGCGCACTCAACTCGAAGTGGCCCTTGAAGTGGCTATCTAGAGTCTTCGAAGCGTGCTTGCTTATGTGTGTTCGCTCTGCCGAGCACCTCATAATTTCTCTCCATAATGTCGCAATATAGGAGTCGCCAGAGACAATACAGAGGCAAGCTCTACGTAGCGCACGCGTGCATGCAACGCAAGCCAATTTCCCACGAGTCATTCTCATAGCGATTCTTTGACGACAGCAAATTAGATTCTCTACCAGCCCGAAAAGCGTTGCAGCCCTGGACGAAACTCCTCGTCTGAGGGATCGCCTTGATTACGAGCGTGATGCCGTCCGCGACGACTCCCTCACATGTCGAAATCAGCGTGCGAACTATTCGACCACGTGCATAGCCCCAGAACTAACTTTGGCGAGAAAACGATATGAGATGGAGCCCACAAAAATATTATTTACCGTTGACCTCCTTCATTGAATAGTATACGGAAAGCCGAGCTAGTTGGTACTATGAACGCGTTGTGGAACAGCGCAAAAAACTCATGGGGTCACAGACAAGAGAGACAACGCATGGGATAATTTTCAACTTATACTTGTTTTCAGATGAACAACATATATACCTACCACTGGTATCCTCTGTATTGCCTGCCTCCCTGTGTATTCTTGCGATGTTCCACTATGAGGCTCCTTCTTTCGCTGATAATGAGTCTAACAGCTGGATTGGCAGAGGTTTTCTCTCACCAAACAGACTGAACTAGCACAAGAGCATTTCGTGCACGCGAGAGGGAGAGAAGTTGTAGAGAGGGAGGGGGTGGGGCAAACTTGATAAGCGAGCACGTTATCGAAAGCTATTGCCAATGAACAAAATCGAAATAAAAAGAATATACTGTGATACTAGGCGCTATACAATCAACGCGCCTCTACAATTGTTGTTGTGAAAATTCATCACCTACATGTGAGACTGTTGGTTTCATGCCTGGTTTTGGCACCGTTGCGCTGATTGAATCTCAGAGCGGCACATTTTTTATTATAATTATTCTAATTATTGGACTACGAACATGTATTCATCTAGCCATGCATTTACACATGCCTAAACGGGAAAATCCAGATAAGTCGCGTGAAAATGCGATAGATCGCACTTAAACCGCGATAACAAGGTCAGTATAATACTTCAACTCAGTTGCGCAACCAAACAAACTGGGGATGATGCAGGGCGCCTCACCTTCTCCTCGACGTCGGCCTTGTGGAAGGTGAGCGTGAGCTTCTTGCAGTGCTCCGCGCGGAGCTGCTCGATGCTGTGGGCGTCGATTGCGTGCGACAGGTAGTCGTTCACTTCGTCCTGCGAGTTCTTCTTTTCGCCGACCACGTAGCCCTTGGTCCTGTGGCGGGGATACCGCATCGCGATTATGAATAATTCGACGCGGAGGCTTCGTCCCCCACGTATGCAATATATGTGCACCCATCACCGTCCGCGTCGATACTTCCGTAAGCGGCAGCGTACCCCGGCAGTACGCCCATCACTATGTAGACTATAGTTTGGGCGTAATCCTCTTTTATCTCTCCTTCTCTCTCACACCCTTCTTATTATGCTGCCAGGAAAGCAGTGGATAGCAAACAAAGTAAACCGTATATATATCGTCGTGGCAGCATGCAGCGTAAACCTTGTGGACGTAGTGCGAAGTATTGCTGCTGCATAAATTGCTGCTGCCTTAGCGCGGCGAGAGTTCCAAAGCAAATAACGGAGTAGGCGGGTGCTCGCCTCGGCAGCATCGATAAGTCAGAACGCCTTGTTATGCGGGCGATTTGTTGTGTCCGCGCGCGTAAGAAGTCCGAAAAGAGAGAGTAAAGAAAGAAAAGTTAGGAGGAACGCATGGGAAGCGCATTCCAATCTGCTGCCAAGGCTCGCGGGCATGAGAGCTTGCTACCGTCATCAAACGCAAAAGCTAAAGCGAGAGAAAAGAGAGAGAGAAAGAAAAAGCGTCGTTTGTGTATACATGCATCTTGGAATTTGTGCTCCTATAGGTTGACTCATAGGGGTGCTCCCGGGCGAATGCTATCTGGCAGACCGTTTTTCTTGTTCGGAAAAAACGGGCAGGGAAACACGGCGGAACATGTAAACATCTCCGAATAAGGTTGGAAGGCCGCCCAAAGGACTGCACGCGTTCTGCTCAGCCTCTTTCGCCCACGCGGCCATTCGCTTGTAATATACGTCTTTACTGCGAGATTTTGATTTTACGAGACATCACTTGATAAAGAGCAGATGCAACGGATGTTTTCTCAACCTACACCTCCTCCCGTTATAGCTTGTCTGTTGCCCTTGCACGGCTTCTTCTAAGATATTTCAAGTACATACTTTGAAGCTCACAGTAGTGTTGGGCTAGTTGGTACATATTAGGCTGAAATATGTGGCGCAAGGTTGCCAAAGAGAAGAAGGAAAAGAGACAGAAAGAGCGCCGTCTCTTCTCGTTCTTCTCTTTGGCACCCTTGCGCCACGTATTTCAGCCTGAAAGTAAAATGGACACAACTGAATAATCCTGCTTGTTAAAGCTTCGGGTGCTTTATCTTCTTTATCGTTCCAGTGCCCTTGAAGACGGTTCTTGAGTGAGCTCATCCGCCTAGCAGAATTCTCAAGATCGCAAAATAAGAGGCCCTTTACATAAGAGGTCTCCCATTTGAATACAGGCCCAAAGTTTTAGACTGAAGAGCAAGACGGCAAAACTAAGCATTTGTTGTGTGCCTTCAGACGAGGATTATGCGTTCTACGCGATCCAGAATGCCGTCCTGACACACTGACTTGCTTGCGATTGCTTGGCTCCTTCGTCGTCGTCGTCGTCGTCGTCTTGTAACAGTCATCACAAAACAACCAGGATAGACATTGGTAATGAGATAAACACAGAACGAGTGCTCACTATACACGCACCCCATGTTGAGATGTCGCCTGGCGTTCGCGTGGCCCATGATGCGTATCTCCTTGGCCACCCCGTGCAGTGCCGCCGACGCGTTGTTCTCGGGCGGCGCCATGCGCTTCTTGTCGTTGGGGATGATGATGTACGTCTCGATGTTGTGGTCGCGCAGGTACGGGTGCCGCTGGCCGCCTTCGCCCGGCACCACCTCGTAGTCATCGCCCAGGAACTGTAGCGTCTCCTTGGTGATGTGCACGCTCCTGCGGTATGAGAGTTGTTGCGTATATATACAGTTATTCCAGTTGGCGCGGTGATGTCGGGCTTTACGTTTGTCTCGAACAGTGCTACAGAGCAATCATACGCATGAAAATGGTCGCGTTGGTGCCGATTGTTATAGCACGAGATCAGAACGAAAATCCCTTTGTCCCTTTGTCATCGTTCTGATCTCGCGCTATAACAATCGTCATGTCATACCAACCAGCCCGAACCGCCACGCTTCTGCGTTGGTGCATTCGGAGTTTTGTGACCTTATTAATTCACTTCGATATACACAAGAATAGTAAAACAGCCCCGCCGCAGTGGTCTAGTGGAACGTACTCGGCTGCTGACCCGCAGGTCGCGGTATCGAATCCCGGCTGCAGCGGCTGCATTTGCGATGGAGGCAGTAATTCTGTAGGCCCGTGTGCTCAGATTTGGGTGCACGTTAAAGAACCCCAGGTGGTCGAAATTTCTGGAGCCCTCCACTACGGCGTTTCTCATAATCGTATGGTGGTTTCGGGACGTTAAACTCCACATATCAATCAAGAATAGGAAAACATGCGCTTAACAGGCCAAGGTGACCCAAGCTGTCTTGCATTGCCAGATAGCCTTGTCTTTTTTTTTCATGAAAGTTTTTTTACTACTCAGTGGCGAACATACAATGACGAGTTACAGACGAAAGGGTGGAATTTCGGCTTTCAATAACAACTGAGGGCCCCTAAACCACCTATCATAATTTTTTACCATTTAAAGTAAATGCGCGCGTCGACTCCAAAACGCCGCCAATATATCAACAATGCCAATCGCGCAGCGCTGCGAGCTGCGGGCGCCCCACAAGTTTCAAGAAAACAACTCTTTTCAGTAAAGTTTGACCAACAAGCCAACCCATTCCTTCTACCCCCTTCAGGCCTCTTGGCAGTGTTCAAACCCTCAATGTTCGCTTGACGTCAACACTGTGGGCTGCCCGCCATCCACAACACCTGTTTGTCTGCTCGCACGCACGCACGCTCGCCGCTCCTCTTCCCCGCACGGCAAGGAGGACCACTCGGCCGGGAGGAGAGACGGGCAGTGAACAGAGCATAGCGAAGGAAAAAGTGAAACCAGCTGAGGAGATTTTTTTACACAGTGAAACGCGTGCACAACTGCGATATTACGCACCGTTTCGAAAAATTCTGGCGTCTGTGTGATTGTTCTAGACTGGTGCATAACTGCAACACCAAAACTAAATTTCGACCTCTGGGTGGTGTAGGGGCCGCAATTGGTTACATTTCCTGACTGCAATAGGCCATTGAGATAGGAAAAGCAAGTGGGCTGTGATCGTTACTTTGCGTTCAACAATAAATTTGTGTACACTTACCCTGGAATTCCACCTGCTTCCATGTAGTTTGCTAGCGTGACGTCGTTAGACCAGACGTCGAATTGCCACTTTTTGAGTCCGAGCACACCGCAGTGGACCCGGCCCGTGTGGATGCCGACTCGCATGTTGACGTTGACGCCCGTCACGTCCCGCACGAGTCTGCGGAGACGCGTGAGGATGGAAACAAAACGGCCTTAAACATGACGCTTGAACAACCTGTTACGGAAGCATAAAAGTCTATCAACATTTTAGCTCGGAACGGCGACTTTTGTGACAGCCAGCCGACTCATGTAACAGCTCAGGCTTATATGCACTGCGACCACAGATGTGCGTAGGGTTTCCCCTTACGGGGATGGGGGGGGGGGGGGGGGGCTTGCATTTTCTCTTCCATGCTCACGCCTATGTACCTAGTCACTAAACAAACCACAAACACAGACGCACAAATACACAACATGCATGCACGAATGCACACGTGTGCACGCACTCACGCAGCTCAGATGGTCTGAATTCATTGCCGTGCACAAAGGTCGACAAGAGTGAAACATTAGCGTTAAAAATGTCCAGAAGGCATATACGCTTTTATGATCAATATTTTACGAGCTCAAATATTTGGCTCAATTTCTTTCTTAAGCATTTTTGAAGTAAAGTTAGAGTTTGTGGACAGATTAAAACGGCGGCTCGCTGATTCTACCGCTAATTGCACTGACGCACTTGCGAGTGACAGATAAGTGAGTAAAAGTAAAAGAAAAAAAACTCAGGCCGAGAGACACTTAAGGGACATGAACAGAACTAAAAGGCGAAAGTAAGGGCAATCCAATAGACTTAAAGAGGGGGAGGAGGCGTAAAGAGAGAGGCGGAGAGAATGGAAGGAAAGAAGGGGGGGGGCGACGGTGCACAAAGAAACAATAAAAGATGGTTTTTGCCTGTACAAGCGGCGGTTATCGACACACAGCAAAAAGCGCAGTGCTGCCGCTTTACGAAATCCCACGTCTTTCAGATGTCGCCGATGTCCTTGCTGTCTTGGCTGTCTGGCATAAAGAAAAGGCGAGACAATGCTCTTTCCTTCACCTACTTTCGATTGGCCTCTTGTCTCTTCAGCAGTCACGCGGTCGTATTAGTAAGCCTCGCACTTTTGCGAGGTAGCGTCATAGATAGAAAAGTCATAGCTTTGCCGCAAAGGCGAAGCAATGAACTTGATAGCAACTAAATTGAAAGGTCACGCGAAAATGGCAAGCAGATCGAAACATGCCTCGCGTTTCTTCCGCACAAATGACGCATGAAACGTACTCACAAATGCAGATGAACGCGAATAAGCGTCTCAGTTACTAATTCGCTTTGTCTGAAAAGCGCGCTCTTTTTGCAAGTGGACACTGTGCTGTGAGTGCAGTGATCTTTGTGCGCCCGGTAACTACAACAGAACCATTCCGGTAAAAGCGCAAGGCATACGATTATCCCCACCGCGAGATAAGCGCACCCCGCCGCATCGTCACAATCTGGCGATTCACGCTCCTTGAGCCATCTCGCTGGTAATGATGAAAACACGATAATTCCCCAGAGATGGCCATAGCCAGCTGTAAGTGGTGGATATAAATAGCTTGCCGTTTCAACGTTGAAGGAGGTGCTCCTTCGTGGCTCAGTGGCTAACACTTCGCATTCTCTAGCAAGAGGTCGGACGTTCGTTCCCGCGCGCCGGACTCTTTTTCTGTATTATTTTTCTTTTTGACGTTTTCGCATGTATAGTTGCGTATAAATATACGGTGAATGACTCCGGCGGCAAAATCCAGCCGAGAGTGTCCATATAACTGCTGTCGCAATAAAAGGTTGGCCGTCGCCAGAAGTTTCTAGGCAAGCCGTGCTTCAGAAGTTCAACACAGCTGCCTATGTGTCGATAAGTTCACGCGGCAGTTGCAGCTGCGGAGGCACAGATATATTGAAGGTTAAACAATAGGAACAAACTAAATTAGGTATGAGCTACGGTGATCATTATGCGTCTTTTTGTACGTGAGGTATAGAGACAAAATGACGCGTTTATATACCCGGAAAAGTTTAAGGTTAATCGCCCTTCCATTGCAGCATCACCTCCAAACTGCGGCCTATGACGATTGAACTGCGATGCCACAGTCTTTACTAAATAGTTTCCCCTTTTAGTTTTCTTTTATACGCATGCCAGAAGTATCACCTTTACGTTCGTGTTGGTCGTTTGTTCTGTTTTTTTTTCTTTTTGTTTGAACGCATATTCTCTGCATTTTTACTGTGCGAACTGGTATACAATCTCGGCAGGCACATGATGATGATCTATGACGTCGTGTTAAGTACACACAGAGACGCTTGCACCCGAAAGGTGATTCTTATGCGATTTGAGGTGCACGGCTGCCGTTATAGTTGAACTCCACACCACTGCACACATTGAGTAGGGAAATACGGTAGGCATGTAGTGTACACTTGAAGCTGAGGACTTTCTATACGAACCAGAACAGCCGCGTGAAACATGTCTACACGGTTCAATGCATGTTACTGACCTGCCGTACAGCAACAACTGTGGCTCCATCGAAACTGTGCAACATGTCTCGTTCGAGTGTAGAGCGTACGCTGATGAGCGTGCACTTTATGAGCATTGCATGCATTCGATAACCGAGAAAACTTTCTCCCTTGACTGTGTCCTTTAGCCTGCCCCACACTTTTGTTCTCGTACTTGAACATCATCGATTATCTATAGACAAACTCTAGCTGTAGCTTGCCACCACGGAAAATCTATTAACGTGCGTCCTCATTCAGTGGTCAAAAATGTGGGCTTTCTTATTATTTCTTCAATCCTAACATGTTGTCTTTTTTCCCTCTCTCCCTATCCGTAATTTCAATCCCCAATTGAAATTACGGATAAGGAGAGAGGGGCTACTCTGCGTGGGCTTGCTACCCACGCAGAGTAGCAAGTCAGCGATTTATATATGCCGGCTGAATTATCTGTTTTTCAATAAAGAGTTCTCTTTCTCCCTCTCTCTCACACGCTGGCCGTGCGTCATGATTTGATTGATTGGAACTACAGTGGACAAAAGCTCGTTTTTGTAAACAACCGCTGTATCCACTTTCTTGCGACAGGCAATCGATTTCGACGATCCTGCGCACGCTCGTGTCAAGAGCACGCCTTTGTTGCAACGAGTGCTAACGCTTGGAGGCATACATCGACCACGAAGTGTCACGTCATAGATATGGGGCTCCGTGTTTTCGGAGTAAATATTTCTTGAAATTTAGGGGGTGTACGTTTTTCGGTGTTTAATTTTTTATTAGAAATTCCAGCGTTTATAGAAGATTATGTGTTTAAAATGCCAGATTTTTCGAATTACGCTGTTTACTTTGCATTATAAATTGCTGCGATGTGTTATTATAACTTTCATTTTCAATAATTATGCCTCGCATTGTTGCTGATAATTGTGTTTCTCCATTCTTTCACTTCTTCTCACTTCCTGTTCATTCGAAGCCGTTGATTAGAACTTCTGTAAGGTCTCCAAAGTGTATACCTTTTTTTGGGAGATGGGGGGGGGGGGCAAAAGCTAGTTTAAAGCTAGACAAGCTGCTTTTAATTTTTTTAAGGCTTACCTCCTCTTCTTGAAGAAAAATAAAGGACCTGTTTGTTGTTGTTGTTGTTTTTGTTTTTGTTGTTGTTGTTGTTGTTCCGAAATTTTATATAAAATGACGGGAACACAAAAGCATGCGAACATACAAAATGTACCTTAGATTTTTTGAAGGTTCAACCACTCAAACACATATACATACAATCACCAATACTTGAATGCAAAACACCTACACGTTAGTCTGTATTAAATCAATAAAGCATTTCGGTAATAGACTTAAGCATACATTACGAAGTTGTTGCCACTGGTGCAGGTGCGCTTCCCTCGACTGAGTATTCTCGACATTGAAAATAGCCTTTGAGCGTTGAAAATGCGATATTAAAGTCGAAGTTTATCGAATAAATAAAAATTGTCAAACATTTTATTAGCGAATGTTTATCGAATCTTTATTTTTTTTTTGCATTTATCCGAAAACGCGGAGCCCTAGTTATAGCGCAGATAACTGCGCCGCATGTATACACTAAAAATTTCGACCCACTTTATATCAGTGTGACATTTCAAGGAAGTCTTGAGAACGCGTGACGTTGCGACCGAGATTTTATGCATGCAGCTTTCCAAGCAAGGCACAAGTGATTCTCGTAAACTGTGAACGTATCTCTAGAGGAAGGTATCTAGAGCATTACATTGGCAGAGTATATGGCAGGCACACGAGTATACACTTTAAATGCGCTCTATATAGAATCGTTTTTCCTCCGCATATCTCCTTTCCTGCAAATCTTGTTGGTTTACTCACTTCTTCGTATAAAAGCATACAACCTCGACCGCATTTGAACGGCTCTCTCACTGCTCCCGTCGCAGGATATAAACGCATATTCCGCGCGTTTATCTCCACCATAAATTCGTCACGTTTAATGCACGGATACGTAATAGCAATGATGTAGTGTAGGCGTAGAGGACCAGGAACAGCACTCTGTATATATGCTGGTCGAGAAGCAGCGCTCATCGGCGCACCTGAAATTTTTTCGAGCTTCAGAAAGCGCCATGTTTTGGGGACCCTTAAATTGAGGGGACAGGCACATATGGCATCCGCGCAGGCATGCTAATACACAAGGCCCCATTCACGAAAACCCTGTCGGGCTATAGAAGAATAGAGACTTGGGCACGTTGGTGGGTATTCATCTTGGAGAACAGCGCAAAACAACACGAGAGCGAAGAAAGAAGTACGGCACCAGACCCGTTGTTTCCTCTCTCAAATTATAAAATTGTTCATAATACAATATATATATATATATATATATATATATATATATATATAGAAATACCATGGTTCAGCTGACGCCAATCAACAGCACGATGGCGCTGATGATGAAGAACGAAACGAAGACTGATGATGGTTATTGACAGATGAGGAAGATGAAGTCCAATGAATTCTTACACTAATTTCCCCCGTCGACGGAAGCGGCCAGTCTGGCCACGAATTACGCTGTGGAACACATACAATAGGAATTGAGACACGAAACGTGCACAATCTCTGTCCCGCAGCGTTGGTCAGTGGGGGCATGAACAGGTACATGTGATACGGTAGTTCAC